CTGCCTTCAAACTAGTAAGAACATAGCGTAGATATTCTTGACGGGACACAAAGTGGATGAGCGATAACGCTTATTAAGAAAAATAGCTAAGACATGAGACGGAAGAGACCATTACTTGCCACACCTTCAACCGTAAAATATATTTTAAGATTTCCGCTATATCTCTTTCCTTTCTGCGTATTCTAACCCTAGTGGAACTTATTAAGACCCCTACTCTTAGGACCCTGTACTTTCTCTTTATAGCTCCAAGTCATGGATTTCAACCTAAATGGAGTTCCAGAGCGGGACGATGCCTACCTGTTAGCACGTGCAAATATGGATATGGTGCGATTCTTAAAATTCTTTCATACGAGCGTACCTGATCACCGAAATAATTCTACAAACTGCGAGTTGGAAATAACAGCTGAGTTGAGCGCTCAAGATGGAACCAAGGAGACAAATACTGACACCCAACTATACTTTGAGTTTGCTAGTGGATCGGACATCTTGAATGTACAACTTGAAAGCACCTCATTCGACACAGGAGAACTGATAGCGACTTACGATCAAGAGCACGAGTTGTTTGGAGGTATCGTGAAGGCTGGACATCGAGGCGAACGCTTTATAGTAATGACTAAACAGTCCCAAATAGAAACGGAAAACTTAGGCGTGTCCATGATTCAGGTAACGAAGGGTGCTAAATGGCCGGAGCCAGTGGTTACACCCCTTTTTACGTTTTCGCGTGATCCAACGTTCCCTGCACCAATAACAGTTAAATTGGCGCCAAACGCTGCCCTTGTGGTCACCAGTGGACACTCGCCTCAGATAACTGTCAACGTTTCAGAATCATTTACAACTTGTCTTGATCCACCTGTCATGAAAAACGTTATGTTTGTTTTCCGAAACGATTTCTCAGAGGTCGAAGGAAACAAAGACACTTTTATGAAAACGTTCATAGAAGACTTAACTTCAAAATTCCCATATGCAAAAATTGATAATGTGAGACTCGCACGAGGTAGCATCCTGGTCTATTTTGACATTACGGCCCAGATATCTCAGATGGATAACGCTCTAGTTGCATTATGGGACATGATCAAGTCAGGGTACACCTTGCGTGTGAACAACACAGAATATCAAGCTCAAATGGTTATGCGCGTAGATGGACAAGATTATCAGCGTAATGATAAGGTGTCTCAAACAGAGGAAGACCGATCAAAATTTCCAACGGCTGCAGTGACCGCGGTATGCGGGGTCGTCGCTCTTGGTGTTATCATAGGAGTGGCGTTCTTCTTATGTAGGAAACGCGTTCGTCAAGCAAAAGGTAAATTGTCGTGGAAAAGCGCATCAAAAATCAATATCATCGATTCGCACTCAGCCACGCAGATGAGTGACAAAATGGGAGGTACTGAGATGATTCTGTTCAGCGAATTAACCAATGACTGTTTCGAGTCTTCGGACAATGAAACACCTCCATCGTCGAGGCCCTCTTCAAGAAATACTTCAGCGCAAAAGGGTAACTTTTTCAAGCGGAAGGTACGCAAAGTGAATTCTGCATCTTCTCAGGCGTCTATTGAGGCTTGGTCAGAGAATACCTCTCCTGCACTTGTTAGGCGCACTCCACAGCTTGCACTGTCATCTCCCACGATTGACGCCAACTTCAGGGATGCATCGATTCTTAGTAGACAGACGGTGAAACATAAGAGTGACAGCCAAATTTTGGTGCAAGAGAACTCCTCCACTGAAGGCTCACCGATAAATTTAAGCCCGCAAACGCCAAAACGAAGACAATCACCACAAAAGCTACGAATGCGAGCTCAAAATGGTGCGTCTTTTGGCAGTGATTCATCAGACGAAGAGTTGACAAGGAATGGGACGCCATCTTCGGCTGACTCGGGTACTCCCACAAGCAAATCTTTGAAAGACCAGAGCCGTCGGCATTTTATTTTTGAGAAAGCTGTTTTGTACAAGAGACTGATGGCTCAAGAATCACGTAAGTTTATGTAGCCTGCTCAGATAGGTGCCAAAATGAGCTGATATTCGTAGTAAAACATTTTGATTCCAGCAATGTTAGATAAAAGAAATGTTTTTGAGAGGTAAAAAAGGTAATTAAGCAATTTCTTCATTAAGGCACTCGACGTAGATCATGAACAAGAGCTATGATATCTGAATTTGAATAAAAACTATCTAAAAAACAATTAGTATCAGGATTTTGAGTCTGGAAAAAGTATTTTTTGAATTAAAAAAATAAGAAATTACCATTCATGTACTGCAAGGTGACAATCAACTTTACTATTTCTCTGAAAATGCGCAGTTGTATGTTTCAAATAGATAACATTTTTTCGCCGCAGTATGTTACATCTTCGAACTTCCTTTCCTTGCGCAGATCTCTGACTTATTAAAAAGGTTTTCACGGATGTCAAAAGTGTCAAGAAAAATAGGATACTTGATCTCCCTTTCATGATCAAGTAGACGGGGAAACTGAGTTATCTCTTTGTATGAGACGCTTAAGTCAATGTCATAGAGCCGTCTTATTCCTTGCAGCTCAAACAGGATCGCGGGATTCTAGTCGCCCATCTTCCGGTCACAGTACACCCAGAATGAACGTCACCTCGCTTCCTCCTGGATACATGGGAAACAATAACGACGGGAACGACATCACAGTAGAGGGTGAGTCATTTAGTTCACTTGAAATTTTCTTAATCATTTCTAGTTTAAGTTCCTTTATCCTATTATCAGTATGCATTTTCTCCATACTATTCTCTCCTTCTCAGCATTATTTCGTTTAGTGCTGAGGAGGAGAATTTGTTGAACAATCAAGTGCTTCTTAAGTTGGTGATCATTTCCTCTGCTTCCTATGACCTTAATGTAATGTTTGATTCAGGGGTGATAAGGAGAAATTAGATGCTAGTCAGTATTAGTGGTGGAAGGGTCAACAGACGACCACGCTTTTCGTTTGAACGTAGTGCAAAACCACAACTGCAGCAATAATCAAGATCATGCAAATCAACTCTTGAGAAAACTCATACTCGATGATTTAAACAGTCTGAAGCGCAAGAAAAAGCGGCTTACAACGTAACGACTACTTTTGCATGTAGTTTCGCTTGCAGTTGGCTCACGCAGTGTACAAATTCTTAAGAACAATCAGAGTGCCAATGCAACCCAATATTACCTTCGACAGTTAACTTTTCAATTCCCAAGATCTTATCGTTAATTTCACCACTGACAGCCACACATTCCTTTGTAAAGTAATTGCGAGAAATTGGTGGGAGATCAAGACAACAACTTCAACCTGATGAGTTTAAGTGTTCTCATTGTCTGTTTTCTGTACGAGGTATTACAAGTTAAACACTTCTGTGAATTAAAGTGTAAATTAAGGACTGTTCCACGCAGTCTATTGAGAATTTTTGTCGAACTTATACCAAAAAACTCAGCCCGCGTAGCATGTTTGAATCGTGTCATTCATGATCATGTCAAACGGTGAGGTCTCCGGGGAAATTAATGTTAGATGGTGCTTGTTCTAGGAGCCCTTTTGTTGATAATTCTTTTTGAACTGTGTCAATTCTTTTTAACAACAGAGGAGTCATACACAGTCAGACTTCCCGTGAATGTCCTCAACACAGTCGCTGAAGGAGAAGGAAGAAAGCCTTTCACGAAAATCGGCTTCGTCGAGTTTCCTAGCGATGCTACCCTTGGTGACATTCGGGAAATATTAAAGAGGGAATTCTTTGAAACCCTTGTTGAGCGAGTTTTCCTATTCCAAGATGCCATGATGGCTGATGTGGAACCATCCAGCGAGGCGACAACCAAGAGCATGTATAACTTGTCGGTAATCATCAGATTTGCCAACAAACAAGGTAAGGAAAAGTAAAACGCGCTAGGGATAGCAGTGTGGGAGCAGGTTGAATTGAAGTCAAAGTAATCTCTCGCTTCCAACTTTGTTTAGGTTGAATTTGTTTTTCTTTTCTAATTTTCAGAAGCAGCACTTTTATTTTGCCCATGCGGCGCCGCAGCTCATTTCCAGTGTTCTGCGTGTCACAAGCGTGGTTACTGTGGCCGAGACTGTCAAGCGAAGGACTGGCACCGGCACAAGATCACTTGTGAAAACGAACAGGTCTCTAGTGTGTAAAAGTTCCACGAAAGAAAAAAAAAGACATACGGCGCTACTTATTTACGAGTGACCTCGTGTTATTCCGTCTTGAGGTGTTGATTTTTGTTTCAGTGCCGATGTAGAGAATTTGGCGTGATAAAAAAATGTGGCTTCAGTAGACCAAGAAAATGATCTTTAGGTCAAAAAGCATCTTCCAATGAAGTTACATGTGGTCCGAGGTAATCTTTTTCACGTCGTTGTTCTGCAGCTCTCTCTCTCTTTTTCGTGAGTTTTGTCGTTATGCAACCAAACTTTTGAAAGTAAATTTTTACCGCTCAGAGCGCTGCAAAGGTAAGGATATTTAACTCTTCAAGGGTGTAAGTTCTTGGGATGTTTTTCACGGACACAACTTTTAAGTACTGAAAATGTGAAATAAAGACGTTAATCTCCACCAAATTTACAACTTTGGTTGTTTACTCAGAAAAATACACCATCTGATCTACCTACTTATGGCAACCTGCTGGTTTCAGAGGCTTTCCGCTTCCCGAAATTGTCTTTCTAGTTACTGCCATGCTACTTCACTCCGATCGCATAACCAAGTTTTTTCCTTTCTTTTCTGTTTCTGTCAAGACGTGATTTTGTCGGGCTAATTACATAAATTCGTTCCTTGCTTGCAGTTATCAGAAGCAGTAGGTTTGGTGGTTGCACTTATTTCCGATTGCCTACACTATTTTATAGGTAACTTGATACAGTTTCCCGCTACTTTTTACCAGATTTAGCTGGCTCTGTACCTCTGCATGAAAATTTAAAATCTGCGCAACATCGTACATTGTTCGAATATATATATCATATAATGTTGGATGTACTCAAAATCACGAACACGTACTCTTGCTTTTAATTGTCGTGGTACAATCTGATCATAGAACACTACACGTGCAAAGTATCGCAGTTGTATTTAATCAACATCATACCAAAAATAGAGTGTACGTTTTTCTACACAACTTCGTTTATGAGTGGACAATGTTTGCTCAATTAATTCTCTCTTAATTTCTCTAAAATATTCTTTGTTTTCGGCTTCATTCACCCCACACACCGTTTGCGTGATGTGAAACTACAATAGGTTTACAACTCTTGTTGAATCGTCACAACTTTGCACTTGATGTATACTCAAAGGTTCACATGTACTTGCCTCGGAGTACTGCAGAAAAGTATATCAATTTACGTCTTGCAAAAACAGTTAACTGGCTTTGCTGAAATTTAAATTTTCCACTAAGTTTTCATAATTTTAATGTTCATTTTGTCATAAAGTTGTGATAGTGGTATTTCAACCCGCTTGTAAAACTTTTTCTTGGTGTTGATTTAAACCAGCAGCTGCATTATGAAGTGTTTCAATAAAAGTTGGGAGATCTGAAAAAGAAAAAAGCGAATAACTCCAAATCATTAAATAAGCTAATAGATAATTATGCAAGCACATAGATAAGACTAAAAAAATAACTGAATACAGCCATTTTTGAGATGAATGGTATCATTCAAGACAAACAGGTTTTCCTTGAGACACGTGTAAGTATGAAAGGTATACGGGGGTCAGCCTCTTTCTCCCAGCCTAGTCTCATGCCCAAGAAAAAAATATCGCCAAAACATAGATCTATACCACAAATTTCTTCTCCAAAAGTTTTCCTGTGGTTTGCTTATTTTCAAGATATTTCTGACCATTTCTTTCAACACACAGTCTTAACTAAGCCAAGGAAGAGCTTTTGCTCCTAGTCTGAATGAATCACTGTAAAAAATTCCATTAAAACGTCCATAAAACTTATACAGTGCCAACCCCCACTTCTCAATAAAATGGCAGCCTGGCAGTGGCAGGAAAACTCTTCAAATCAAAAACGACACATCTTGTTTTGTTTCACCCACCAAACTCTTTGATTAATTCTACAATGAAGCAACATACATATATGCTCAACAGCAAGATGCCCTTTTCTTTAAGCTGTATTGCACCAGACTCAAACCCAAAGGAACCACATTTTAAAGTACATTCCAGTCACTGTATCCACAAAAGATATTTCATTGACTTACTTGTGCTTGTCAAAATATTCATGCAGTAAGATGGAAAGTTTGTCTTGGGATCATCAAAGTAAGACAAAACAAAGTCAAATCCATCCTGCAAAGTGAACATTGCCAAAAAAAAAAAAGAACTTGAAAGGTTTGCAGAAGAGAAAAAATTATGTTGCCCTCTTACATTATCTCCAGTTACTAACTGAACTGAAATTTCTAGTCTCACATTTTTCAAAAGTTTTAAGAAAAAATAATTTGAACCTTCAGCTCTTAAGATCAAAAGCTTGTCTCACCTCATCAAATGTTTTATGTGGTACAATCACCATGCTGGAGTGGTAGCTTGGCACTCGCACATGTTCATTATTCTCTGGACAGAGTGGATGATGAGTTGCCCTGGGTAGGTAATCATGAACAGTTAATTACAGTAACAAACAGTATATTCAGCTTTTCCACTATGTTGCTCACACAAAGGTAAAGGGAAATTCAAGGCAAACAATAGCATAATTTTCTGGATGTCACATTTTTGTAACCACAAACCCCTTAAAACACCTGTCTATGCATGCAATGATGGTTAAATGGGGTTCATGGGAAATCAGTAAGTAACACTTGCCATACTAATGGTGGGTCACCTCTATAGAAATTTAAGTTTACACTGTGCACTGAAATCGTGCTGATACAAACCATCTATGCAACATTACTCTGTTGCTCACCTTGATAGCAGAACCATCGTCCTTGAATTATGATCAATCTGAAATATGGACATTAAAATGTCAAATTTTAATAAATAAATAGTGCACTGGTAACTTTGGCCTTCTTGGTATTATTGTTTCTAAGCTTTTCAAAGATCTCCTTGAGCATATCATTTCATGCTGGTTAATTAATTGAATGCTGTTTCAGTTACTGTGAACCTTCAGGGTCACTCTTTAAATGATTACACTTGTGCAGTGTTTTATAGAAATCCCAGAAAACTAAACATTGCTGCAACTGTAGAATTCAAAGGAAAATGCTGACCAGCACACCAGCACATTCTTCATTTAACCCTTTGAAGCCTAAGTGTAAATAGCATCTGCTCCTAGTTTTTGTGTTACAATATCAACCTGAATCAAGGGCATGATCACCAACTAAAGAAGCTCTTGATTGTTAAACAAATTCTCTTTGTCAGCATCTCAGGACATAAATGGAGAACAGTATAGAGAATATACATACCGATTTTAGGGTGGAGAGGGTTAAACGAAAAGAAAAGGAGAAAAAAATACATAATAGGAAGAGGTTGGCAGTTCTGCCTGACTAAAACCCATTGTAAAAACAATCTCCATTTACTTACCTTCCCTCTTCTTACAAACACATAGTCTCTATTTCTCAATGGGTACTATAGATGACAAAAGAAAAAAAACAAGAAGGTAAAACATTGAGTACACTATTCCCGAAAAATCTTCTCTGCAGTTTGGATAAATTAGTTTAATTACTTAAATAATTTATTGATAAGGTACTGTGAATAATTTTTGTACACTCTGCAGATAAACATTTTAAAATCAACTTCATGAACACTAAACATGCACACCTTTATTTGTATTGGTAAACTAAGGGTCTGGACCCAGTTGTTCGAAGAGAGTGGATGACACTGTCTACTGGATAAATCTTGATCTGGTGGATAGCTTAGTACATTTTGTCAACCCTTATCTGGAGGATAAGGTTATCCACCCTTTGGACAACTGGGCCAGAACATTGTTAGCCCTATCATATAAATAACCAGTTACAAAGAAACAAACAATGCAAAACCCAAGAAAAGAATAGATGTATAAAATGAGATACTTACAGGAAATTTTGTAACCCAGTGTAGTACTTCAGTTCCAGTCACAGGATCAGAGTCAACAACATCAAGTTTTAAAACAAACTGGTCCCAGCATAGGCGGTATTCATTATCAACCTGAAAATAAATACCTCACTATAAACATTGTTTCAGAGATTCTGGCCATTTGACTGAGTTAATAAGATGTAATGTAGTGACCTCTCCAGAAAAGTTACACCTACCAGAAGCACACCAAATACACCTCTTTTAGAATTATTTCTCATATCACTAAGAATGAGTTATACATCAGATACCGCATGCGATAAACAGTGAATTGAACACACATACACAATCAGACTGTAGTTGAACACAAATGCCCAATCAGACTGAAGCTGTCTTTATACTTTGTTGTTGTTGTTTTTTAACAGTGTAATTTGTCAACAAAACTGTTCTAATACGTAGTGCAGAATATATAGTTCCAAGTGTCACATTTTCAAAAGTGTTCCACCAAAGCAGGTCTACAAAACTGAACAATTGGCTGATCCTTCTGTAAAATTCTAAGGGAACCTGTTTAGCCAAATTTCCTTTTCCTTATAGTATGATTATGAAGACAAGTCAGAAGACAAATAAAAATGAAATGTTTTGATAAAGTTTAAACCTAGGCTTATAAAAAATTACTAATCATATATAATTGTGTAATCTCCATCAAGTTAATTTTATTCCTCTTTCTTTTCTTTGAAACCACACAGAATTCAAGAGTGTTGCCACATTATCAAGTCACAAGTTGCTTGTGATGCCCCCATTATCATTAACAGGTTAAATAGAATTAAGTTAAGGAAGCTATCCTCACCTGAGTCCTATAGAAGGACGTTGCATTTATATCAAAGAAAGTACCAAAAACTACAAAAAGAAGAGGTATACAGTAGGTCAGAAGTTTCAGAAAATTACAATGTAGAAGTAATAAAACTGCAGAACTAAAATTTTCATTTCCACATAACATTTGACAAAAACCCTTCCAGCTATTGAAGAGCATACTCAAACCATGAACAGGTAAAACCAAAACTTGCAAAAAACTGACTTTATAGTACATACAGTGCATGAAGTAAACACATTTTTGTGTTCGAAATTGAAATGTGCACCTTTGATACCCATGAGATACATGTAAAGATTCATAGGATCACCTGAAGTACCCAAGCCCACAAAAGAACTACTTATAAAATTTTCATGTACCCCATACAAGCAGCACAGCCTGTACAAAGGTATTTCATGAACTTCCCTTAGAACCTTCATGTACATTTGTATTGATTGTCGCCAATTTCTTGGTGAAAATAGTTCCTTAATTCAGACAAGAGGAATAGTAAGTAATTTACATTTATATGTCTGGTTACAGTTCTTACCTTTGTATTCATAAAGCCCAGTAGTATCAATAGGCCTTCTCCACACTTCTAACTGATGTTGGTTGATAAAGTGTTCCCATTCCTCTTTGTCACTGTTTATTTTGTCACTTTTCCTTTTCCTAGAGTTTTCTTTTTTGCACCTAAAGAACAAGCAAAGCCAAAATAAAATCTTAGTCATAAATAAATTTAGCCACTCTCTGGAATATGCTTGTTTCATAATCTGTGGATAAATATTCAATTACTGTTCCACAATCATATTCACACCTTTATCCTATATGTACAATGTATATCCTCAATATAGAATACATGAAAAGTGAGAGTGAAATATACCAGTGACCTACAAGAAGTGTGACCAGTTTACAACAGATCAGATATCACAACACTCAACAAAAAGGAAAAAACACAACAATCAACATTTATTTTAGTAGCAGAATTAGTAATCCCCAATTTGATGGATTAGAATAAATTGCACATGGGCACTTAGCTCTCTTTTCTCTTAATTTTTGCTCTTATTTTATGTAATCCCTCTGAACTTGGAAAAATCCTATGTATTGTACATGTATGTTGAAATATATATTAACAAAATACCAGTAGCACAATATGCTTTCAACAAGGTTTTAAGTACATTATCCATTTCACTCCCAGGATCTCATTAGTAATTATCCTTCTTGTATGCTATACAATTGTTATAAGGTTAGTTCAAATAATTTGGTATTGGATTATAAGTCCCTAATTGATATTTTATTTTATTCTCATCACTTGTCTGCTTGACATCATATGGATATTGCAAGGGGAAATTCTGTCTTGGTCACTCAAGGGAGTTAAAGTTTTAAATAAATCTTAATAGTACACAAGCATGATACTAGGGAAGAAGTAAACAGTTTGGTAGACTTTAAGGGTTTCAGGGAAGAAAGCTTAGCTGATGACTACTGGAAAGAAAGGGGATGGGGGGAGGTAATGGGCATTTGGATAGACAGCAGCCTGAAAACTTAGCAGATAATATTAAGTGTCAAGTAACATTATGTATGGCTCTATCAGTCGAGTATTTTTAACTTTAAGCTTATTTATTATGGTTTTATATAGTAATGTATCATCCATTGTTTCAGTTCCTTGTCTAAATTCAATCATAATCTTCGCTCGTAGAGGTTGTTCTCTGCTGTGCCCAAGCAACTCTTTAATGCTGTTTTATGCCCCCTAAAGTCTAGAATACCACGAACAAAACAGTTGAGCATGAACCAAATCTCAAAAATGTACCAGGCAGATATACAAAAGAAATCACCTTGAACGGAATGAGCACCCCAAAGAAATGATAACAACTTATGTAATATCAGAAAAAAACTTAAGTCTTCAACGTTCAACATTTCACTTTCCTGTACAGCTCTTGCAATTTACTGACTCTCGTGTTTCAGACATCAAACTCAGTACAACAGATCTGGTGTAAATTCATGGGTTTGGATGAAAATGGAAGTTGAAGGAGATGAGACTTGTAGCGTAACAGATCCTCTACGAAAACCAGAATCTGATGGAAACCTACTCGACGATTGCTTGTGAAACATGTTGAATATATATTTTCACTACATGGAAACTAATTTGATCGATTTAGGAATTACTGATTACAGACATATCTAACCTGAACAGCTCATAGTCTGTAACTCGCTCCTTATCCCACAAAAATCCACCTGCACCAAGAAGGCGAATGTCCCGGTTTACCAACTGGTTTTCGTAACTCAGATTTCCTTCCGTCTCGTCTGGATGAAAATCTTCGCAAAAACCTTTTCTTCGTTGCCTTATACTCTGTCTCTGCAGCAAGTATTTTTCTCTTCTTTCTCTCATTTGCTGGCAGATTTCACTGACTGCGGTAGTCAAACTTTCCAAATTAAGCCGAAGAGGCAGCGTGTCTGCACCTTTCGGAAAAGGGAACTCGACTTCACGAATTCGCTTGCGAAGTGGATGATCGAAGCCAACATTGCAACGAACTGCGGCGCAGAACTGGGAAGATTTGTAGATTATATACGGCCCTGTTGCTGCCATTCCTTTTCTCAGCTAAATTGTGAGGATCGTTCCCAGCAAAGAATTCAAAAGATTGTGAAAATCAAACGATATCTCCTAAACATAGCCGCCATGTTTACATGTGATCCAGCAATGTGTCTGGTTTCGCGGCCAAAGTTCATCAAAATTTTCACCAATGCGCGTTCGTTGATCACGTGTAAAGAGAACCCCTGCCGGATGTTAATGGCGGATAGAAACATTCATGTGCGCATAGGCTTAAATTTGCTCACGATAAAAATGCAAAATATTGCTTTCAAGTCACATCCAAAGAATTATGATTACAAATTACGTGAGACCTGGATATTGTTACGTCATAAAAAAGCTAATTTTCACGCGCTGGCTGCCTTCGTGACAATAGCTGTACCACATATTGACTAACCCACCCGAACAGAATTATAAGCGAGCCGTTTCCTCAATTGATAAGAACAGGTGATGTACGCGAGAAAAATGAATTTGTTTTGCTGGTACCCAGGAAAAAATAAATCATCTCTTTAAGATTTGTTAACATGGTAAGATATTTTGAATTGTACGGTGCGACTTCCTGTTCTTCTTCTTCTTTTTTCTTTCCTCTAGATAATCCGTGGTAATGTATGGTGCCGCTTTATGACATAACATAGACACAACTCACGCTATGATTGGTCAAAAATCTACATATACTTGCCTGTATGCCCGTTGGAAACTGAAACACCTTATGGCGCCAAACGGGGCGAATTCCCAGGTTTTTTTTAATTTGTTAAAGGTCCTTGGCTTGGAGAAAACGCTTAAAACAACGGCGAAGCTTTCTTTTCATTGCTACATTATCAAAATTCGTGCTTAAATTGAAGTTGAACTAACTGGCTGTTCCGTTTTAAGCCTTTGTTTTTCGCGGCGCAGTTAAAGTGAAAGAAATTTAAGGTGGGGGTGACTTTTTACAGACAAGAACTATTTCAGAGCGAGCTGTTAGTTCTAGTCAAATATTGCAATAACTTGTCCTATGCTGAGAGATCTGGTACAAGTTGTCGAAGGTAAAATCAGGTGGGGAATACATTCCGATACAAGTTAAATAGATATGTATGGTCCTAAAGGGTACGCTTCTTCAGCCATTTTTGTCTGAAAAGCATTTTTTCATCCACGTCAGAAAAAAAAAGCTTAGCTGACAGTTATTCGGGAGTTTTCGGAAACGTCACTAAACAAAAGGTTTAATGAGAAGAACACTGGCAGTGCACGTGCATTATAAATCTTTTTAAATTTCTCAGCATCTTATGCAAAAACAACAACGTGAAAGGACCAAACTTCGTATTGTCTGGAGAACGTGAACGACGACGGCTAATTTTTAAAATTTCTATATCTAATTTAACACTGTGTTGCATATTGAGTTTCGAGATAGTTTTAGCAGTGAGAAACAAACTTAATGACTTTAGAGTATTGCGAGATTCGTAAGTGAACTGATAAGTTAATTTTTTTAACTGACGTTGTCCACGGCGTCGCCGTCGTTTCTTAAGCAGTCAGGACGGCAACCCCAAGGAACCAATCATACCATCTCATACGGCGCCACACCTCAACTTCAGCATAACGTATAAAAGAAGCGTTGAGTTCCAAATGGAAATTAAAATTATTTGCCGCCGCGGTTTCGGTTCGCAGACAACTCAAATTGTGGTGATTTCACGTTGTTGTTTTGCATAGGACGGCTAAGAAATATACAAAGTTAATTTAAGAACGCATGTGCTGAGCTATTGTTCTACCAATTAGATCTTTTTCTATGTCCTCAGTGCCGTCCCCGTCGTGGTTTGCTTAAGGTCCCTAATTACCTATTAACAAATTCACACCGGTGCACAGAAATGTTTATGACAAATATAGAGTGGCTTCGTTCCACACTGCCACTATGCAGTGTGAGTAGAAATGATGGCCAAGAATAACAGTAATATAAGAAGAAGTAAGGGAATTATTTTCACCGCTGGTTCTTTGAATTGACCTCTAAGATTACATGCACAAAAGGCACCAAAAAGACCGCGCCTGTTTTAATTACCCGAGGGTATAAGAATAACGTTTACTATGTTGACCCAAAGCATTGAATCCATGCATCTCAAGCTAGCCCTGTCAGGATATATCTTAAGGATCGTTATTGTACCTGTACCTAAATTACAGAGCTGCTTGTTCTGGGAAATGAAAAAGACACGTCAAGCGTTAAACAGTATGTGGTTAAGATGCATACAGATCCGTTTCGAAGATCACAATGAAGCAATGTGAAAGAGATCGATCCATGAAAGTGTTTACAAGAAGGTGAAACAGAGCAATTAAAGTAACAGCGGTCTGACAATGTTGTTGATTGCAACGGTTTGAGAAACGGATACCGCCTTTAGCCGTATACGAGCTCGAAGTAAGTAGTTAATTAGATATGATGGTATTTGGTTTGAAAACTATTACAGAAGGATAGCAGAGTGGGAACACATATAACAACATAATTGTTGATTCGGTCCAAATAAGACAACTTCATAATTGCTTGATGCAAGACAACTGTTTCAGGTCCACACTAATACGTATGAACAAGTAAAGGGGCGAAACACTTGGCACGTTTTGGTCATTTCGTATTTAACAAATAGATTCCAAGTTGCCGTGCGTGTGTTCAGTAATAGATCACAGATGACGTCAAAATGTGGTAAGAGCAAAAAAGTGGCACACGAGGTGCAGCCGAGTGTGTCACCGATTGCTTCCCAGTTGTATTTTTTTTTATGCGAGCCAAAACTGAAAATCTAGCATTGAAAATGCAAAATTTCGACGACTCTGTATTATGAATAATCAATTTCCAAATATCTAGCAAAGCAATGTTAGATGCAAGGTTTTGAAAGTGTTTTTAGACATGTATCGATTGAGACAAAAATGAATGGCCGGTCTATTTAAAGCTGTTGTATAAAAAGTTTTTATGACGAACCAAAAATATCTCTCTAAGGCTCGATTCTCAGATTCTCCATACAGCATGCGCATTTGCGAGCAAGCTCTCTCGAGGGGTGCACGTGGGAATCCTTAGCTGCCTCTGGACAGCTTGATCGCAGGCTAAACTGCGCTTTAAGATCAGTTGAAGAGAGTAAGCGCGTCAATCTCAAGTGCAATGTTGTAAACACATTACTAACTAGGCAACTGCGGATAATAAAAAAATTAAAAAAAAAATGCCAAACCAGTAATCTCAGTTCTTAAGACAATGACTCCACAGATGTTTGCACGTGCTGTTATTGGTTCCAGGTTGCTGATCGATTTAATCGTCTTTCGTAATACAAAAATTATCTTTTGCGGATGTGGCGTTACCTTAGAGCAGTGTGCATTGGTTTACAAATCATCTTATTCATAGCAACAGTACATTAAAAACAGTCTGTTCAATTAATAACATGTTAGTGATAGAATTCAGGGAGGATGATCTAAATCGTAAAGCTCCTGAAAGTTGTCTCCCAATTTCCCTGTTGTTCAGCGCACAAAAATCTTTGGTCGATGACTAAGATTTTAAAAGCAATCTAATAGACATGTTACATGTTGGAGGGGTTGATTAATAATAGTGAACTTTCTGGAAGTGATCTCTATAATGAATTCCTATAAATGAGCAGATAATTTGTTAATTTGTGACATTGATTGGTTCATTGCAATGCTGGGAGTGGGCGAACTGATAAACATTGATATAATCAGCTGATCGTCCTTTACCGATCTTATAATACTTCGCTGAAGCTTGCGACAATTTAGTAACACAGCGTATTCTTTATAAAACTACAGGTCTTACACGAGTAACTATAATTACCGGTGTAAAATGCATTTTGTACATGAACTTCGATGCTCCACAGTCAAAATGGCATTTTAATGTGCATAATTCAACGCAGTTTGAGCAAAAAAGTTAAATAACGTGAACGTAATTTGCTAGTTATGTAG